CCTCACAGCGTCCCACGTCAGCAATCCGCGCGCATCACCGTCTTCGACGAACGTTGTTTCTTCACTGCAATCGACGTCAGCGATGACTTCACTGTCTCTTTCCAGCGGTCTCCTCCTCCTATAAATCTAGCCCTCCCCTCCCCATTCCAGCCACACCACCACTCTTCACAATTCTTTCTCCCTCCCTTCCTCCACTTTAGGAAATCCATTTATTGTCCGTGGTTGCGGTTAAGGCCGATCCTCCATAACATAATAAATTCTTTGAGTTATTTCCAACAACCTTCCCATCTAAAAACCTGCCAAATCTTTGTCCAAATTCCGCCAAAAATGGACGAAGAGGCTCTTAGGGTAAGTACTTGCATTTCCTTTTGGGATTTATTTTTTTAATTGAAATAATCTGATTACATTCAAAAATTTTATAGATGGGTGTGGAGATATACTGTTCTCGATTGTATATCAATCCTGGGCCAAGGAATGCAAAGTATTTAACCGAGCAAGCAACACATCGCTACCGTGCAATTTGGCACAACAATCAGCCGGTAGACACTCCGTACCGTATAAATTTGTTAATTATTTTAGTATTTTAAAATTTTTTATTTTACTTTCCTTTGACTAACAACTTGGTGTATTTTGCATTTTTTTGGAGGAATCACTCCTTCCCATCACTCATAGAGGGACAACACGTTTGCCCATTTGGCATGTCGACTCTCGTTGTATCTAGAGAGAACGGGTTTGGATATGGTAAGGCACTAGATAGACCATTGATTGCACATGTTTATACCTCCATTCTTGAGCCGTTTAAGACTCGATTCTTGTGTTTTAAGCCGATTTCACGCTAGGTTATGTGTTTATGTCATATTTCAGGACTTGGCATTGACGTGAAGGCGAGGAAACGAGTTTCGCGTCAAAAAGGAGGACATTGGAGTGAAGGGCCGCTGGAAAAGAAAATACCCGGCCAGGAGTTAAAATACCCGACCAGGTAAAATGCAAAGAGAGGCCGGGGATTTCATGTTTTGGACGCCAGAGTTCCAGAAGGGGTTTCGGCCGGATGGCTAAAATACTCGATCGGGTATTCTGAACCTTGATCGGGTATTTCCCTTTTCCCCACTACACAACGTTTAAAAATACCCAGCCGGGCACCTGAAATACCGACCGGGTATTATGGCCGAGGATCACGACCTCTAATTTTTAAGGGAAAGAAGACCAAGTTTAGAGGGTTCCGAGTTTTAGAGATACAAATCTGATACCTAAAGAGAGAGAGTGACGAACCAAATTCTCCAAGCGCCCTAGATCGATCTTCATCACCATTGGAGCTCGGCTTAAGCTTGGAGAAGTGCCGATTGATTGCCAGAAGCAGAATCCCATCCTTCACAGCATGGTTTCCGCATCTGAGCTAGATTTTCCTTCTCTCTATGGAGTAAACTCTCTCACTCACTTGGGTATGAAGAACCCTAGATTTGTATGTTAGGTCTGATTGTATGAACCCAAGTACGAATTCATTGATGTTGATTATATTCAATTGAGGTTTGATTTCCTGAATGACATGAATCCTGATCAAATTCCTGTTATTTCTGCTTTGACATAGAAAGAGAATATCTGCCTAGGTTGATAGAGCACCGTTGATTGAAGGTAGTGAATTGACGACTTTAGTCGAGGAGTCAATTCACTATTCTGTACCGGATTTACTCCGGTAAAGGAGGTTTGGTTCGTTTGGGCCTTAATATGTTTACTCCGGTGGAGGTTAGTCGCCCGCTAGGGACTCAGATTGAGAGGGTCTTGATATCGTTAGTCGAGACTGCAGACTGTTTAAGAACCTCCCGCGGTATAACTATTATTGAACTTGAACTTGGTAAATTACAACCTGGCTTAACTGCAGTCTAGGGGGAACCATATCTGGGTGACCTCTCTCAACTTTGAACTCAACTTTCACTACTTTTGCTTGCTAGTTTAGTTAAACCTTCACTACACTTGAACCGCTAAATAATAAGATTTTCACGGAGTAGTCATCACACCTAGGATCCGGGTTGACATTTAGAACTGAACCCGCTATACTACGCATTAGTAAGTGGTTACACTTGACCACTTTCTAGTGTGATGGTAGAGGCATGTCAGAACTTCATGTGGATTGAGAGGGACAACCATCTGTTGACGATAATATACCTGGATAACTGGAATGCAGAAAGCAAACCCATCAATGCATAGCTTGAATGACCAAAATAGACGGAAAAACATCAACTCATTCTGTACTCGAACTAGATCTTCAGTTTGCACATTGTTGTACTATGGCACGAAAATAGTCCCAGGGTTGGACTCCTCCATTGCGGCCATTATTCTAGGGAGTAAAGCGTAGGAGTCGTCCCAATCACCATACACCTAAGCCATGTCCTTTTGCTTTCCATGCCATGCCTTCTTGTACCTGATCGTGTAGGAATGTCGATCTTACATCTCGGCCATGATATCTTTGATCTTGATATATGGTTATGCCTCGATCAAATGATTTATGGTTCTCCCCCACTTTATTTTCTTTAAGTTGGCGGTTATCCTGGGAAAGTATGGACGAGGAGCAGCTGTGGTTGTTCTCTACTATATGAATTACCGAAACACCCTTTCTTTTCATATTTAGTAGCCCGTAGTTGCCACATACAATCCTCTCCAGAATTCTTGCATATTACATGTCGTTGTTTGTCATCAGAATATTTTAATCTCCACTCGAAATTCCGCCGCATGGCTTCTTCGCTAAAAACATCTTGAACAGTGTCCTTCAAAGTGAACGTCATACCCACCTCCAAATTGGTCGTCGGATTATACATGAGCATAAGGAGAAAGTTGAGGACATCGTTCTGACCATATAAAAATTGAGATGGAACCTCTGTGTGGTATGGCATAGGTGGCTCACGAAATGCCACCTCGTCGTCCGTATCTTCCTCCTCGCTAACTCATCTCAAATCTTCCTCACTTTCCTCTTCGCTGGAGACAAATGGATAGCTCGGGCTAGGAGGATCATCGTGACCAGCACCACCAACATCGTCTTCTCGCTCATGCAAAGTACGCCTAGATCGAATGGTGTTCTCAATGCCAGCCCACTATGGCCCCCAAGCAGGCCATTGAACGTCGTCGAGCTCAATGAATGGGGTAGGCTCAGCACGTTGAGGATATTCTTCCAATAGAACCCCTCCTGCAGAACTACATCCTCCGTAATTGCTTGAACTACCACCCATTCGTACCCTCCTACAAAACCATCATCATAAGAATACTGGTGAGAATGAGTTTCCCCGAGCTTCTCTATCTCAACATACACCTCTACAAGCTGCATCCTATTGTCAGCTAGGAATTGTAACCTCATGGAAACCGCGTCATCATCATTTATGACAACTTGTTTGTACATAAGCCTGCCAACGCTCATGTTTGGATACCGGTAAGTAATGTTACCAACTCTCGTCTGTCCGCTCATACAAATCTTGTCTGCACAAATGTCGCGAAGTTCTTGCCACGTAAATCTGGACTCAGTTTTCAACATAGTGAATTCACCATCTTCATAATCGATCACAACATTAGAGTTTTTCACTAGACCATTCCACCAAATAATAAGTTGAAACTTCTTAATTAGTACTTTGGGCTACACAAACATTATCCAAAACCATAATTTTAGGGCTACGTAAATAATACCATCCAAAACCATAAACAATCGCAACTAATCGAAACATGTAGCATAATTAGCATTACTATAACATGAGTATATTAACAAAATCATCTAAAATCATAACTAACTAACATCCACCATACCATACATAATTAATCAAAATATCTCTAACATAACATATTTTCCACTAACAGTAATTCATTAAATACAAACATATAACTACTAAAACATCAAAATCTAAACAATATAAAAGAAAAATTGGAGCTTCTGTAAGCGTAGTTGCTGGGAGGAGGCTGAGAAGGGGAATTTTGCTTAAATTTGACAGAAATGTGGGAGAGCTACCCATAAATGTGGATAGGTTTTTTTCAACAGCTACGTGGGAGGGGAACATTTATTTATTTGACAAACAACCAGCATTCACCGCGGTTGTCTAAGACGGTGAAGATGTTCACTGCTTTAGACAAAAGCGGTGAAGGTGAGGTTGTTGTCACCTAATTGTTCAGCTACCATGGGTGGAAAACATGGCAAATGTTCACCGCCTTAGTAAAAAACGCTGAACATTTAACTGCGTTTGTGAACGGTAAATTATTCACTGCGTTGGAAAGTCCCTGTGAAAGGTTCACTGCGTTGGATGACAGCGGTGAATCCTTCAACGTTGTTGTTTAAGGCGGTGATTCTTCGGTTTAACCTTCACAATTATCGTGCATCACAATGATGTATTCACCGTTGCTTAATAAAGCGGTGATCTTCTTCATTGTGTTATACAGCTACGGTGAAGGTGAAAACATGTGTAGATTGAATTTTTTATATAAAATGTGTGCATTCAGATTTCAGGGTAAAAAAAAGGAGAAACAAGTCCTTGTGTTGATGCAAGCTCCGTTTTGCTCGGAGCTAGGGAATTTTTTTGCAAGAGCGCGTTCCTGCTAGGGTTTCGTCGGCGATGAGTGCGCCTGCGTCGGGGGGCCAACTCCCGGGCGCCGGCCAGGGAGACCTACTCAATGGCGGCCGCCGGTCGCCACCTAGCTCCTCCTCACCGAACGCGAAGGGCGAGAAGGAAGCTCAACAAGCGAAGAAACGGCCGAAGGCCATGAACCTCAACCCACTTTTTGACTCAAATATGACGGCGGAGCACCATACCCAGCCGATTGGAGACGTGGAATTCCAGGATGCGGAGCAACACCAAAAATCGGTATGGAATAAAGACCAAGGGCGATCTTTCACCGACGTTCTCCTACAGGAGAACTGGTACGTGGCTGAGTCAGATTCAGAGGATGTGGCCGAAGCTATGAGAGAAGATGACCTCGACGATGAGATCCCAGAGGACGACGATCTTTGCTGTCCAACGATCCCGTTCACGGTAATGGAGAAACAGAGATGGCGACGTGAATGGCGCTCTGCTCTCATTGTCAAGGTACTAGGACGTTCGTTCCCCTTCCCGGTGATCTCAAAACTGCTGGAGTCGTTGTGGGCAAAATGCGGGGTCCTACAAATCTCGAGTCTCTCCTATGGATTTTATGCAGTCCGGTTTACTAGCCAGGTGGATTATGAGCGAGCTGCGGCTGGAGGGCCATGGATGATCGGTGAGCATTATATCACTGTTCGTCCGTGGAGAAGAAACTTCAACCCCAAGCTGGCTGAGGTTGCCTCGACAATGGTCTGGGCCAAACTCCCGGACTTACCTAGAGAGTTTATCAACAGGGAAGCGGTCGAGCGGATCGCATCCAGAATTGGGCGGCCTATAAGGGTCAATCGTTCTACTCAGACTGGGGATCGGGGACGTTTCGCTAGAGTTAGCGTGGAGGTTGATCTGACGAAGCCGCTCCTATCCCAATACAAAATCGAAGGCATCACATATTACGTGGAATTTGAAGGTTTGCACAACATTTGCACAGAATGTCGGCGCTATGGGCACTCCAAAACAACATGTCCGACCCTGTTCAAAGCACCTTCTAGGGAGGAAGTGAACCAACAGCCGACAACCCCTGTGCCAGCACTAATTTACGGGGAATGGATGATGGCAAAGCCTCGCAAAACCAACCAGAAGAAGAAAGTATCACAAGGTCAAGGAAACGAGTCACAGCCCATGAGGGAACCGTCCAGAAAGGCTGTGGGGGAAGTAAATGCGGGATCGGGCTCACAATTCCAGGTCTTAGCCGCGGAAGCCACCGCATCAGCACTTCTCGATTCTTCGCTCACAGCGGACATGGAAGTGCAAGTAAACCTGGACGAGGGGACTGCTGTTCACCCTTCCGAGCAACCCAGTCACCAAATCCCGCTCCCAATATCTCAGGCACAGTCCAAATCCCAACCCCCATCGAGCCATGAAAGCCATGCAACCCCAGCTGTGCAACGTAACTCTTTGAAGGACAAGGACAGCGCGGCACTAATTGATGTTCCAGTGCAATTTGCGGCCGAGAAGAAGATCATTGCTTCGCCCGGGTCCCAGCCTTCTGGGGCAACGGTTTTGACCCAACATAACGGCAAGCAACGGGGCCTAGTCCGCTCAGGACAGGAAAATCATCAAAAAGCCAAGGGCACTAATACTCCAGAGCAGCTAGCGCAAACAAAGGGGCGGAAAGCTGATCTGCCCCAAGGCAGCGATGGGCAACCTCCAGGGCAACCCACTGCTCAAATGCAGTTGAAGGACAAGGGGGCCAAGGGCCCTACCGAGAACGGGCCTCCACCTGCTCTCTGAGTTTCTCCAGACTGCTCTTTCGCGGCGGCTGCCGCTATCAGGGAAGTCTCTTCCTATTGCTCCCGTTTTGTTCGATTTTTTCATTTTTCATTTTAATGATCAACATACTATCTTGGAACTGCCAGGGTGCAGGTAACGATCTTTTTATTCCTCAACTTTTGTCTATTTGTCAGGTAAACAAGCCCGACATGGTTATCATTGTAGAGCCGCGAATTAGCGGAGCTACAGCTCAATCTGCTATTTCTCAGACGGGGTTCGATGGAGTCATTGTAGTCGATGCGGTGGGGTTTGCTGGGGGCATTTGGGTTCTCTGGAACAAGGCTAATATCGAGGTCACATCCCTCTGTGAATGGGAGCAGATGGTTCATGTAAAGTGCTCCAGGAGAGGAACCAGGGAACATGATGTCCTAGTCTCTGCTGTCTACGGCAGTCCCAACGAAGGACATCGGCAATCGCTCTGGATGGAGATCAAGAGGCTGGCCACTCAAGCTAGCATCCCAAAGGCTGGACCGTGTCCTTTGCAACCAGCAGTGGCTTCTTAAGTTCCCGAACACTACCACTAAGCATCTTGAGAGATTTGGATCGGACCATAGACCGATCATGGCATGCCCGGGATCTACGCAGAAGAGGCAGGAGAACCGCCCCTATAGATTCTTGGCAGCGTGGATGAGCCATGAGGACTTCCCACGGGCGCTAGCAGAGGCTTGGGTGAAGAGGGAAGGGCTGCCGCAAAAGCTTGATGCATTAACCAAGGATCTGAAAGAATGGAACCGGGATGTGTTTGGCCACATCTTCAAGCGGAAAAAGAAACTCCTAGGTAAGCTCCGAAGGCTGGAAATGGAAAATGATCAGGGAGGCAACCGTGATTCCCTAGCTGAGGAGAACCAGGTCCGAGCTGATTTCAATGAGGTCTTATGGTAGGAGCAACTCTTGTGGCTCCAAAAATCTAGAGAAACATGGATCGTCAAGGGGGATCGGAATACCCATTATTATCACTTGGCAACGGTCAAAAGGAGGAAGTTTAACAGGATAGTGGCCCTTCGGGACGAAGAGGGGAATTGGATTCTTGATGCCTCGGCCCTCAAAAACCATGTCCGAGGCTTCTACAGGAGCCTTTTCTCTGCAGAAGCAGGGCAATCCCCATCGCTGGTCGCCAGATTCGAGAGAATTCCAGAGGCAGCGGCTATTAACCTCGAGGGTAGGCTGCTGATTGAGGAAGTCTGGAGTGCAGTGCGGAGCATGGGGGGTCTTAAGGCCCCTGGAAAAGACGGCTACCCTCCGATATTTTTTCAGAAATGTTGGGGCATGGTTCGGGGGTCTTTCGCAAGCTTTGTGATGGACTGTTTTGAACATCCACAGAATATCCGCCAAGTCAACGATACTCTTCTAGTGTTGATCCCAAAAAAAGAGAGCCCTGACTCGATCAAGTTGTTCCGCCCTATAGGGCTATGTAATGTAGTCTATAAATCGCTGGCCAAGTGCATTGTGAACAGGATCAAACCGTGGATGGAGCATCTGGTCCACCCCACCCAAACTAGCTTCATCCCGGGTAGGCATATATCTGGGAACATCATCATTGTGCAGGAAGTCATTCACTCGATGGGGTTGAAGAAAGGCAAAAAGGGCCAGATGTTGTTAAAGATCGACTTGGCTAAAGCATATGACCGCCTCAGTTGGGATTTTCTCCTGGATACTCTTAAGGAGGCGGGTTTCCCGGAGAAGCTGATTGCAGTGATCATGGAATGTGTCTCATCCTCGACTTTGTAGGTTCTGTGGAATGGAGAGTGTACAGAGCCGTTTTCCCCGTCCAGAGGGCTTAGACAGGGCTGCCCTCTCTCACCATATTTGTTCACATTATGCATGGAGCGACTAAGTCACACCATTGAACAGGTTGTGGAGGAGGGGAGATGGAAGCCGATCAGACTAAACCCAGGTGGTCCTCCTCTCTCTCACCTTTTCTTTGCTGACGACTTAATTCTGTTTGCAAAAGCGAGCCTTGCGCAAGGCGAGGTCATTATGGATTGCCTGGGACAGTTCTGTCAGGCTTCGGGCCAGCTGTTAGAAACAAAGTTTCTAACGGGTCTCCAGATCAGATCTGGGGATTGGGATTTTAGGGTTGTAGAACAGAATTGGGGATTTAGGGATTTGAGAAGAGAGTTGGGGAAGAATTGGGGAAGATTTGGGGAAGAACAGAAGAGAATCGGCCTAGGCCTTTAGAGGGATTGAGATCGAGAATTGGGAAGATAGGGAGATTAGGGTTTAGGAGATTCTTGATAATTCTTTCTTGACTGATTCTGAATAAATCGCAAAGTACATATTTATAACGAAAGACTGGAAAACCCTAACAATAAACCTAATTCTATTAAATGACTACTAACCTTGATAAGACTTACCCTAATAATAATGAAAATAATAAATATAGAAACCCTAGATAATTCGGTTTCTAACATCTCCTCCCCTTTCAGACCAACCTTGCCCTCAAGGTTGACCAACTTGACCCACTCTTCTACGTCGTCCATGCAAACTGCACTTTGACTCATCCATCTCTTGCGCTTCCTTTTCTTCCAATCACGCTCTTGTACCCGCACACGACTTATAACACAAGCATTCATAGCCTCCATCAAATCTCCTCCACCCTCGCGACATATGTCACGTTCTTCATAGCCAAACGATTCCTCCTCTTGTTTCTCAAAATTCACAAAATAAGAGTCGATAAACTGTTCTTCCTTGCACTCCACGATTTCCACCATCGGCTTTGTGACGTACACAAGTTCTTTTGGGTTCCCTTCTTCTCCAAATGGGCTTGGATTAACCCACCTTGAAAGCCCAACTCCTACTCCAACGAGCCCACTTCCTTCCTCCTTCCTCCTTTGTTCCTGCAAAATCAATTTAACAGTAAACCCCACTCGTGGCCCAAGTCTCTGTTGAAGACTCGGCCCAACTTCTTTTCCCAATAGACAGGAGATGAGTTGAGTCTCTAGCCCACTCTGCTGGCCCATCGAGGTTAGGCCCAAAGAGAATCCAATAGACCTCTTATTTCTTCCAAGTCCGTGATCTTTCTCAACCATTTGATTAGCATATCCCGACCCATATCCGAGCTCTTGCTCATTAGCACACTGGGCTCGATTCGCTTGGCCCAATTCGTCATGTTGCTGCTGGGTTGTGCGGGTTAGGGCGAGAGGCAGCAGAAGGTTTGCGGGACCAAGGAACCCGCCGCCGCCCTCCTCCTTCGTCACCTTCTTTTTCCACGACGGCGAAGCTTTCTTCACCTCGACCTCTTGCCATGTGCAAGCCTCCAGCTGATCGGAGGAGATTGGAGCAGCAGTAGCGAGCGACGTCAACCCCACTCTCCCAACCGACGTCGTATGCCTGGAAGTCGTCTTCAATCCCTCGACCGAATCCACCGCCAGGGTCACATTTTCTGACGATTCCTTCTCCGTCTCCTCCTCCTCCGGCGCCGATGGCTTTTGCGGCGCCTTCCTCCTCGACGAACAGGCTGGTATCTCCTGACCCCTCGCTTCTTCCTTCTCCGGCGGCGAACAATCCATCCGACGGCAAGGCTGGCGGTCCACTCCCGACCTCATCCTTGACGCCACGAAGAGAGCAGATCGTGGGGACACCTCGATTTCCGTCGTCGAATTCAACTTCTCCTCCTGTCCGACGCGACCCGCCGCCGGGCTCGTCTTCCTCTCCATCGTAACGTCGTCTTCCGCAATCGACGTCACCATCTCCGGCGTTGCCTCCTTCGACCACGAGCAGCTCACCCGGCAAGGTAGCGGCCTCGACTTCGGCCTCTTTCCCGCGCCGTCGCCATCTGCGTCGCGCGTCGTTGTCGCGCGCTCCGTGGCCTCGGGGCCTCCGCCGCTGCCGCTGCCTTCCACCCCGCTCGCCCGGACGAACGGGCCGTTCCCCGCTCCAACGCCTCGGTCGGCGACAGCGAGCGCCGCCAGCCGCGCTCCCCCGGCGTTCTCGCCCTCCTTCTCTGCCGCGGCGCCTCGCGCCGACTCCTTCTTCCAGTAGTTCGCGATTTGCCATAACTCTTCTTGCAACTGAGCCCATGGCTGCTCTGATTTTTCCATCGTCGATTCTCCGGTTTCTAAGCTGTCCCTGATGGAGTTGAGAAGAACTCACCGATCGGAACCGGGCTCTGATACCAGATGTTAGAAACAAAGTTTCTAACGGGTCTCCAGATCAGATCTGGGGATTGGGATTTTAGGGTTGTAGAACAGAATTGGGGATTTAGGGATTTGAGAAGAGAGTTGGGGAAGAATTGGGGAAGATTTGGGGAAGAACAGAAGAGAATCGGCCTAGGCCTTTAGAGGGATTGAGATCGAGAATTGGGAAGATAGGGAGATTAGGGTTTAGGAGATTCTTGATAATTCTTTCTTGACTGATTCTGAATAAAACGCAAAGTACATATTTATAACGAAAGACTGGAAAACCCTAACAATAAACCTAATTCTATTAAATGACTACTAACCTTGATAAGACTTACCCTAATAATAATGAAAATAATAAATATAGAAACCCTAGATAATTCGGTTTCTAACACCAGCAGGTAAGCAAAGAGAAATCGTAGTCTTCTTCTCGGGAAACACAAAGCGGCCGATCAGTTCAGCCATTGTCCAGCACCTCGGCATCCCTGCAACACAAGATCTGGGAAGGTACTTGGGAGTCCCGGTTCTTCAAGGGCGGATCACCAAAGGTACTTTCCAGTATATTTTGGATCGTCTGGATAATAAACTTGCAGGGTGGAAGGCTAAATCGCTATCCTTGGCGGGGCGTGTAACTCTGGCGACGTCGGTACTTAGCTCCATGCCCACCTATGCAATGCAAACTACTCTGCTACCCATCTCCATCTGCGATGAGATCGATAAGAAAATCCGGCGATTTATCTAGGGTTCCACGGCTGAAACCCGGAAGATCCATCTGGTTAACTGGGAGGGCATTTGCAAACCCAAAGAGGAGGGGGGTCTTGGGCTCCGGCAAGCGCATGAGTT